CCCCCCCCCTCGTTTGCCCTCCCTTCCCCTCCCGCAGCACGGCCAACTCCCATGCATGCCTGCCCCGGGGCCAAGACCCCTCTCCTGCAGCGGGGCCAAACCCCCGTGGGCGCCTGCCCCGGGGACAAACCCCCACGGGAGCCTCCCCAGGCCAAACTCTGGGGCTGACCCCTGCTCTCGCAGCGAAGGAAAATCCCTGCGCTCAACTCACCCCTCCCAGGGAAACCGCCGGACTTCTCTTCTGGAGCCAACGCCCCCTCCCCCAGCACATGGCAGAGCTGTAGGAGGGGAGCAGCCTGCACACTTCCAGAGCCCCCAGAAGTGACACGGGCTTCACCCAGAACTTCCGTCCACACCGCGGGAAGCTGGCACTACACTAGAGGTAGGTAGTGGGGCTTCCATGGGTGGGGAGTAAATGGGGGGTGGGGGTGCCCGAACGCCTTGCGATCGACTGGTCGAGGCCTCGCAATCAACTACGGGTTGGTGACCATGGCACTACATGCATCTGACGAAGTGGGTGTTTACCCACGAAAGCTTATGCTCCAACACTTCGGTTAGTCTATAAGGTACCATAGGACTCCTCGCCACAGATAGAATTATTAACTTTCCCACAGCCCCATAAGAGTTACCCTGATAAATGAACCTACCCCAGAATATTGGGCAAATCTGGTAACAGTTTCCCTGTCGAAAAATGTTAAAAGCTTTGAAGAATGTTCAGTCTTTTACTGCTTCTATCTTCTACCGCAAATAAAAGCTCAGTGCAGTTCCTGCTTCACAGCTGTCAACTTTTCAGTTCAGCTTCTCTTCCCATACCTTGGAAGTTCACCTTTTGCACCAGTGTCACCAGCAACAGTACAAAATAGCTTTTCACCTGTTGTGTGTTGTACTTGCAAACCATAATCAACACCCTGAATTGCATAATTTTTGTTTTTCTTATGTAAACTCAAATAATTAATCTGGTTAATGCACATGAGGATTTAACAAAAAGAGCAATGTTTTATAAATTAATTTGACTAAAAGCTGAAAACAAATGTAAATGGGAACAAAAAACCCTGTTCCCCAAAAGACTATAAATGTATAAGTAGTGACTATATCACAGGAGGTTTGGGACTAAAATTTAGATTCTCTTCATTTTCAAGTTCCGTATTTATCAGAAAGTAAGAAGCTTCTTGAGAAGTTTGCCATAAGATTTTTTTTAATGTTTGTAAAAATATACTGCAACATTGTGCAAGTGCACAAAAACCAGAAAACATTAGTTTGCCTTCATTACCCACTCCGAGTAAAATGTTGGGGGTAATTAAACAGATTGTGGGATTATGAGAATTTTTAAATTCTTTCAGTTTATGATGATAAAATATTTTTTCCTGTGTTATTGAACTATGATATTTAATCTGGCAGTGCTTTCAGGAGAAGCCAGTCAGACACTGGCTCTGCAGAAAGCAATCTTACCAAGGTCTAGGAGCCACTGAACTTGCTTTAGAGGAAAAAAAAAAAAAAAAAAAAAAGTTCTTTTCACACAGAAATAAGTCTACCTTATATACCTGAAAATTTCCCAATGTTCAATCACCAGGGAAAACACAGGAATTCTATCAAAGAACAAATATATCTAGTACAACAGCATGTCTCCCATAGTGAAGATTTGCAGCTAATGCAAAAGAATATATAAACTTTCATAAATGGTATAAATCTACCATAAGAAAGCCAACACTGTAGAATGCAATCTCTCATGTATCAACAGTGAGCAGGAAACACCTACAGTGAATAGGAGGCAGCGTTTACAGAAGTTTTCATATTAAAAAAAAAAATCTAAGTCACTGTTAGGGATATTAGATATTGTTTAATTGAATAATCAGGTAACCACACCAAATTTTAGTAGTCACACAATTATTCGATGGTCCCCAGGTGCAGGGCTGGCAGCCAGTGCACTCTGGCTCCACTACTGGGGAGCCCCTTGCCATCCTGCACTTCTGCCTCTGACAGACACAGCAGCGTGGGGCGGCAACTGCCTCTGTCCATGTGGAGGACCACGCAAGCTCCCAGCAGACAGAGCAGCCTTTTCCATGGCAAGCCCAGACCTGCTGCAGGCAGAGGCTACACGCGTATCCCACCTGCAACCTCGCCTCCCCTCTGCCTCTGATATAGAGCTGGTGCTTGTGGGGAGGGTGTAGATGGCCACAGAAATCTGGCTTAAAAGCCAGCTTCCTGCATGTACTGTCCCCTACCTGCCCCTCTTGCCCTTTACGTTGCTGCCTTTCTATCTGATACAGAGGCACAAAGGGAGAGGGAGTGCATATAGTCGTTAGGATTAACCAATATGCACAGGCTTATCAGTTAATCGTTTACATGACTATATCCTAACTAAAATCCCTAGTAAAGGTACTTTATGATGCAGTTTTCCTATTGAATCTAATAAAACCACCAAGTAAGACTCATCTCTCAAACTTAGCGCACAGCCCAAGCAAGCAGAGCAATACATTGAGGAATTTAAACCATTTTGTCTCTTGGTTTTGAGAAGTAAAGCTATTATCTCTGTGATATATGACATTTTAAACAATTCCTTCCAAGCCTGTCCCCTAAATTTCATAGCTGTAAGCACTTACAAGTGCATTCAGAGATAAAGCTTTGGCTAGTTTTTCAAGGTTAATCTCTACCACCGAAGGGAAATGTCTTGACCCAAGCTGAATATCAGTATATGTAGTCCTTTGGTTTCATATTATACTCTTGCCAGATAACTATCACAGATAACCACTAGAATTTTTGTCTTTTATAGTTTTTTTTTTTAATTAAAAAGGATACTTAAGGTTATGAGTGCAAGATAATTAATGCTATGGATAAAACTCCAAGCTACTCTCCACACAAAAAGGCAAGCTTCCTTTAAGAGAATGCCAGCTATCTCCAGAAACACGTAACATTAACAACCTGCCTGAGAACATAATCTTGCCACTACAGGTCACCTCTCCACCTGCCATCATTATAGCATTGCTGCCTACCTCAAAATGACTACAAGACAACTTACAACACAGAAATCCATCCTAAACATGTTGCTTAAGTCACTCATTTCATCCTCACTCACAGCAGCTTCACATTTAACAACACACACTTTGTTCAAATCATGGAAACAAAAATTGGTACTAGGATGGCTCTCCAATAAGTCAAACTCTGCATGGACCACTTTGAAGAATTTCTAGAAAATTGAATTTTCTAGAAATTCTTCAGAGAATCAGATATCACCATGAAAAAAGAGACACCCATATACTGGGGGGAGGAGGGGGGCAAGGGCCCTGCTTGGATACAGACCCTCCCCTCCCACCAAACAAGCCCACTAATAGCACACTGTTACAATCCCACACTTGAACTCCTAGGAGGTAGCAAAAAATTGTAATTCATATTTGATGGGCACCACACCCTGAAACAAATATTCCCCCAAATCTTTTGGCCTTCAAATAGCCACCAAGTCTCACCAAGTTAGGCATCAAAAGAAAGCACCACACAGACCAGAGCACACCAACTGAAAATAGCATAAGAGCCTGCCACAACAAGAGGCAAAAATATTACTGATGATGAGGATCAATTACACACCTGCTCCCAAACACACCTTTCAGGATTCACGGAACTATACGTTTATTACAACAAGTAGTGTACATCCTTGTAAGCTCCAACAACATTGATGAAACCAGTCAAACAATCACTATACTCTTGAATGGACTCAGATAGAAAAAAAATGATAAGACAAAACACCTCACCCTTAGATGAACATTTTCCACTTTCAATATCAACAAAGCTTGCATAACATCTTGAAAAGACAAGCCTTGGAATTTAAATTCTTAACTAGACATCAGAAACTATGATTTCAATGTGGACATTGTTGTAATGAGCCATAAAACCAAACTGTAACATATCCTCACTGCCTGCTCAACTTACCTACCTACTTCCAATTTCTTCTACACACCAATCTAATCCACAAACGACTTCATTTCAAGTGACCTCTTCTGTTCTGCCATATGCTTAACAATCTGTCTCAACTTTAATTTAGCTCATACACACTGATTTCCGTCCTCAGATATGAAGGGCTTTGTGCAGCTCAAAAGGTTGTACCTTCGAAACACCAACTGACATTACGGTAATTTAATTTTTTTTTAAAAGTCTCACCTACATTCTCACTCCCATGGGCTGTCATTTAACATTAAAAAAAAATTAAGGCAATTTAAAATTGTTTTTGAAAGCACTTGTATTTCATCTTCTCTTTTTGGAAACTCTAATTATATATTTATTTTTAGAGATTAAATACTAATTCACAAGTGTCCAGTTATAAGTACTGTATTACTAATCAAGTACCCTCAATAATAGCACGTGGCAAGTAAGTTCTACATGTCATTTAATAATCATGCTCCTTTAACTGATTTTTGAGGGCTAAACTTTACATTTAATTATCTACATACAATTATCTACCTGTTTTAGAATGGATTTGTTTGTTTGGGGTAGGAGTTTTTTTGTTGCTTTTTTTGACTAAGAGGTTGAGAGTCAATGTTCAATGTTGCTATTTTTATTACATTAGTCAATGTTTCTTGCTTAACAACAAGTTTCCAAGGAAGCCTTGAAGTGGCTGGTGGACCTACAATTGTGTTTATGCAATGTTGCTGCAGACCCCATACATGAGAGAGACCAAATGGGCAACTGGAAGCATGATTATATCCTAACTTTGCTGTTTTTGTTTTTTTATCTATCAAGTGCAACCCTATGTACTGGGAAGGGAAGGATATGAGACAAAAATGAAAAAGACAGCTTGTTGTTATTCTTCTTCTTACTCTTCGTTTCTAAAGGCAGTACTCCTAGATAGCCCTTATATCAAAAGTCCCCTCATTTGCAAGAGTGCAAGGTCATTTCAGTGCCCTTCTCAGAGCCTTATTTCTGCATTTCAGATGATGACATGACATACACATCTATTGTGACATGACATCAAAAGAAAAAAAAGCAACTCATGGCCATAAGCATAAATCTTATCTTTTAATAGTTTATATATATTTTACACACACACACAATCTCTCTCTCCCCTTCCCCCCATGTACAAATGCAAACAGTCTGCATATAGTTGAATGAGGGCCTTAGCAACACACAGAGAGAAAATACCCATCACGAAAAGTGCCATGTAACCTAGAGGCCACTTTAGAGGTACATTTGTACTAGGAAATCATAGATTTAAAAAAATATATATTGACTGAACTTTTTGAAGATGGATAGAGAGATATGCAGAGCTGATCTGTGCTAACATTGATATAGTTGATTTATCAGGATCACAGCTCTTCCTTATGCAAAATATACAAATGCTCTCGTTAACATATTTTAGTATCTCTCCCACAGCACGGGTGACTTCCCTGTATGGATGAGTAGGCGGCATCAGCTAGAGATTCCTGAACGGGATAGAACAATTGTGCCAACACCAGCCACTCAAAATAATGAGTGAATCTTAACTCACTTAAATCTTAACTCACAAGATTGGTTTGAAATTTGAAGCTTGTGCATGAATTACACAGGGCCCTTTTCGTGTGCACGATGGATCCTGAGCCCTTCCCTTCAAGCTCCGCTGCACAATACGCGAGGTGACAGCTCCCTTACGGGGCAGCGAAAGCCAGGAGACTCGCGTACCCTCCTGGCTCCAGCAGCCGGGGCTTTGCCAAACGCACCGAACCCTGGGCAGTCGGCGACCGTGGGGAACAGCCCGGGCTGGCAGGGACGCGACCGTTTACTCCCGCGCGGCAGGAGACCCCGCCGGGACCCCGGC